TTTTTCCCTAGATCATTCATGCTAATTTGAAAGGGTGTCTTTGGTGTTTCAGCCTGTAATGAATGTTATCTTTTTGTCAATAAGCAGTTTGATTGTTCCCTTTCGATTTATGTATCCTGACCTCTTTGACGAGAGCAAATACAACACCATATTCTGTATTGTTTCCAGTGCCAACGACGATTCCCGACCCATGGCCTAGGAAAAAAAAAAGCTAAGCTCATAAATAAAAATGATGCAATATGCAGATAATTAACTCACCGACGTCACAGTGAACATTATTATATACCGTTTTTTACAAGAGTTCCCATAAAAGCAATATTGTTTCTTTCTTGAATTGTTAACTCTAGATAATCGTTTCCAGAAGAGATCGCTTCCGTAGTTTTGCATCGAGGCTTCGTTTCACCTGTCAGATTGGATTCATCAATTTCCAAATTTACAGCCTATTTTTCAAAATCTTAGCGGTTAATTCGTTGTCAAAAATAGTAAGTTGCTTCTCGATGAACTAACCGATATTAATCTGACATCAGCAGGGATTCTGTCTCCTATGCGGAATCGCACCAAATCTCCAGGCACTAATTCAGAAGCCGAAGTTTCTATCAAATGTCCACCACTAATCACGTATAAAATTTAGTGTCCAATAAGAACCAATAAATATAAATAAATAGTAGACCCGCTAGATATATCGATTTCTCACCGTATTAAGTGGCAATGGTGAGGAACTAATCTATTTAACGCCTCCAATGACTTTTCCGAGCGGTACTCTTGCACAAATCCGACTATGTGAAAATTGATTAGATCAAGCAGCATGCAAAACATATTTAAGAGACCCTCCGTTACCTGTTATAACAATGACTACCGCCTGTTTGTTATGAAATAATCCTTAAATTAGCAAAATGAACTCAATACGGACTGAATGCGAGATGAACAGTTTCACATACCAAGAATACCGATAGTGCATCCTTTTGATTCCCCAATATCAGAGAAATTACAGCAGAACAAAGAAGTAAAAGAACAAGAGGGTTCTCGATAAATTGCTTTAAAAATTTGATTATAGGATTTTCCCCGGTTTCGATTTCAAATTCGTTGTAACCACTTGCTTTCCTTTTATTAATAGCCTCGTTGGACGAAAGTCCAGTCTCTAAATTAGTTCCAAG